TAAAAAATTTTGACTTGTAGATATTTTTGAATTGATCTAACACTATAATAAAATAGCTTTTTACCTGTCATATATGTGTACATTAATAAAACGTGTTAAAGGCATATAGACATTTGTAATTAGATCTATTGTCGCTCAACGTTTACATGGAATACTAAAATGCAAATGTTACTAGTATCTCTTAAAAAAACATATTTTAGTAGACAATTCAATTATTACTTTTAATTAATATTTAATTATCGTTAAAAATTATTTTTTGATATAGCGTTAGTAGAAAAAGTAGATAAGGAGTAAGCTAAGTCCATTAATGCGTGTGCTTGCGAGCCTGCTATGGTAGGAGTTTGTTCTGTCAAACTGGTAAAAATGTGAAGTGGTTTAAACTTAAATTCATTTCAATGATAAACAATACATAGCAAGAGAAAAGAAGAAACTTGTACATGGTAGAGATACAAAACAGTGTACATCAAAGTTGAGTCAGCTCAACAAATAGGCCATACCCAAAGAAAGAGTGCATAAAAGGAAAAGACAATAGTACCCTTGCTTATAAAAGAGAAAGAATACTAAAAACTAATAGAGGATTGATGCGCAGGTTTATAGAGGAATAGGTATAGCTCGTAAAGGACGCGATCTGGCTAGTGTGATACCAAACTTTTCTTCAACATCCAAATCTTCTGCTGCAATTTCGCCTTCAGCTTTCCAATCAAATGAATTCAACAACGAACCCAACATTGTAGATAATATCGTTGTCGCCATAGTTAATCCTGGACAAATTCTTCGACCAGCACCAAATGGAATGAGTTCAAAGTCCAGGCCAAGAACGCCCATTTTCAAATTCCAAAATCTCTCAGGCTTAAACGTGAGAGGGTCCTCCCATGTAGCTGGATCACGACCTATTGACCATACGTTCACTAACACTTGAGAGTCTTTCGGAACAAAATAGCCACATGCCTCCACATCTTGGTCGACCTTGCGAATCAAAAAGGGTACTGGAGGGTGCATCCGCAAGGTTTCTTTCACTATGCACTGCAAGTAAGGGAGACGAGCAATATCAACTTCTTCGATTATCGTGCCTTTGCCAATAACATCTGCAAGCTCACTTCTAGCTTTATTCATTATGTATGGTTTTCTCATGACCTCTACCATTGCCCATTCTAATGTACTTGAAGTTGTATCCGTTCCCGCAACGAAAAGGTCCTGAAATATAAATAGTAACTCTCAGGGATGTAACAAGGTATATAGCAAGTATTTAAATGATGGAAGAAGTTACAAGGAAACTAATGAAGCATAACAGAGCACCTAATGGGAATTCAGGATCTAGAATTAATCTTTTTAGCATTAAAAACTCACTGTATTACAACTGAAATTACAGGTTCATAATTTTCCGAATTAATAGTCTGACGGGTCGAAAATAATTGTTCAAAAGGTCTATCCGGCTGTGTAAATAAGGAACTTAATCGAAAAGGGTGAAGAAGTTAAAAAGTTACCAGGCACAAGTGTTGTATATGATCTCTATCGATTGCCTGCGGATCTTCTTCGCTAGTATTCAACATAACTTGGAGAAAATCTGTTCTACTGCCATTTTGTGATTTCCTCCTTTTTTCCAATCGTTCGTCTATCAATCCCTTCATAATATGGTGAAGCAGCTTATCAAAATGCTTGCCTGTGCGTCGCCTTATCCCTTGAGGATCAATCCTTTTCAAGAGGGGAAAATAATCGGCGAAATTGGGCTTACCAGATTCCTCCAAGACGCTCCTGATCACATCCTTAAATTCTTTACCTGAATTTGCATAAGGGTCCACTACATCCTTAGAAAAAATGGTATTGGAAAGTAAATTAACCATGGTCTCGAAAGCAGCTTTGCCTATATTCACTGACTCGCCTGTTTGGCTACACTTGCTGCAATAACCAATAAAATCTTGCATCCTTTGGGACCTGACATCAACGTGACGTACAAAATCAATTTTTACCTATCGTGTGGTGAATAATAACATGTTTGTTGACTTGACTCAAGGAGTTTGAATTCAAAAGTTCAATATGAATCTAATTATCATTGTATATTAGTTTTAACTTATTTTAATCAAATTAAACCCACACTTTTACCTGAGATGCTGGGTTGCGTCAAGCTTGTTGCTGGAGAACATATTAGAATTCAAAATTTTCCTTAGGCTTCTCCAGCGAGAGGCAGCTGGTAGAAACACAACAGAGAACTGATGGTGATTATTGGCACAGATTGCATCAGGAATCGTTCTGCTGGAAAAGGCCAAATCTTGTTTTTGTAAGACTTGTTTTGCAACGGCTGATGAAGATATTACCACTGTAGTTATTTGCCCCATCCTGAGGCTCATCATTGGCCCATATATTTGGGCAAGCCTAGCAAGTGACTTGTGAGGTTGATCGCCAACAATATTATGCAAATTTCCAATCAATGGAAGGGGAATAGGCCCTGGTGGAAGTTTTTTGTTGCTTCCATTGCTTATTGCTACCCAATGAATCCATTGAAGCAAAGTCCAGGCAAGTAGTAATCCACCTACAATAATGACTACATAATCCATTGGGTGACTTATATTATTTTCTAGTATGGCTATGGTTATATATATACTGCAACATCCATTTATCCTACTCCTGGGCTGGGATGTAAAAAGATTTATAATGAGAATTTGTTGAAGTTTATTCAGGATTGATCTTTCTTTATCTCAGAGTCTATAAACTCTCTACCAGTGTAGATGCAATATAGGTAGTAGTGACTAAAAAGACGATAACAGTTGTGGAATTAATAACTTTGATAGTTACTCAACTATCAATGTTTTCGTAGAAAGTCACTCAACTTTCATTTTTCAACTCAAAACTCATTCAACTATGATTTCTTTGCACAAAAAGTCACTCAATTTCCATTTTCAACTCAAAAATGACTCAACTACAAAAGACACTCAACCTATTTAATTATTTTTTCATTAAAATTTAGCGACATAAAATTTTAATTATTAACATAAATTTTAAGAATCAAATATATATCCATTTATATCATTTTAATGATCCGACCATTTAATCCAACCCGCTAAAAATATAATATTAAACATTTTATGTTACCATTAATTCACTAGAAGAATGTGGGAGACAAGGGAGAATAATTTAGGGAATCAATAGTAAAATAAAATGTTCAATATTATATTTTTAGGTGAATGAGGGGAAAATGCTTAAATACTCCCTCCATCTATGCCCGAAATTTCAGAGACACACTTATACTATACTAAGGTTCTATTACCCCTGAACTAAACCAATCCCATAAATTAGATATATAAATTTTATAATTATTTATATATTATTCATAAATAAATAAAACATATTTTGTTAAATTTTAATGAACTTATGTTTTTAACTTTACCATTTTCTCAAGCCCAACACTTTACCTACTGTACTTCACATAAAATAGTAACACTTTCTCTTAAATGAATCGTTTTGTTAGTGTAATGATAACTCTAGTATTGTTTAATTGTTTGACTAAACCGACATTAATATTTTTTTAGATTGTTCTTATACTTGGTGTTTGTGTTTATTAAGATACATACATTGTTAAAAAATTATTACTTTCAAATCGAATAAATCAAAAATAACTGAACCAAACCAATGGTTATTTTTTTCGTTTGGTTTTAGAAATTTAAAAAACCAATTAAATTGATTTGATTTTAATTTTAATTAATAATCGGTCTAAATCGAACCACGAACACTCCTACAGTGACCTATTAATAATTCGGTAATACTTAACTTAACAAATTTATTTGATAAATATATCAAGTTTTCAAGTACTAGAAAAAAAAAATTAATACTCCGGCCAAATCTAATTTTGGAAAATTTTAATTATTTTAAAATTATCTGAAACTTTTATACTTTCTTTTTGTCAAGTAATACTTGTTTATTAGTAATACTTATTTATTATTATTTTTACATATTCAAGAAATTATAACTATAAGTATAATTTTACTGTATTATCATTTAAATAAAATAAATATAATATCTTTAAAATATAACAAAAATGACTTAAATTAATTTCATAAATAAAGTAGATAAGCTATTTTATTAATTTTATAAAATAAATAAAATATTATTGGACATCAAATAAGTATTGAATAGAGGGAGTACTTTTTATAAAAACATTCATTATTTATAACCATAGGTGCGTCATTTAATTCACACATGTTCTATTCTCTCACTTTCCCTTCACTTCCTTTTTCAAGATTTATTTTGTTCCATAATTATCAATTTAATGATTAGCATAGCAAGAGAAAGAAAAACGTGTACAACTCTGTACATGATACAGTTTCAAACCATCTACGTGGAAGGTGAGTTACCGCAACACATGAGCCTCGGAAGTTTGGGTTGTTCGTGGGTCGATTTGAATAAGTTATTAGTTAATATTAAAATTAAAATTAAATTAATTTAATTGTCTTTAAATAACCAAAATCAAACTAAATTATATATAATATATATTTATTAATTGATTGTTATCGATTTCAATATGATTTAGTTCGATTATTAAGTATACATAAAAATAAAAATAAAAAAAGCAATTCATTCAATAGTAAAAAGTGTAATAACAATCGATTCAAAAAAAAAATTGTTAAATAACTGACATTACATATGTTTTAGTCACTAACTTTATCGTGAATAAAGCTTCAAATTTCTCTATTCTAAAATGAAGAGAAAATAACATTTTTAGTCCCACAAAGAATTATCAGACACTAGTATACATGGAAGTGATGAAACCAATAGGCGGCAAATGCTTTCACTTGAGACATTTTTGCTTTCACAAGTAAATTATAAATACATTTTGATGAAAGATATAAATCTTTAAAATCGTTTATACTATAATAATATATAACTCCTATCAATAATTAAAATTACTCCCATAAAAGAGTTTACAAATACAAAAGACAAATAGACAATAGTCAATAGTACCCTTCTTTAAAAGAGAGATGAATACAACATTCATAACATGCCAACGTTTAAAGCGAAATAGGGAGAGCTCGTAATGGACGCAATCTCGCAAGTGTAATGCCATACTTTTCTTCAACATCCAAAAATTCTGCTGCAATATCACCTTCAGCTTTCCAATCAAATAAATTCAACAATGAGCCCAAAATTGTAGATAATTTCGCTGTTGCTAAAGTTAATCCCGGGCAAATTCTTCGACCAGCACCAAATGGAATGAGTTCAAAATTTTGGCCACTAACATCCATTTTCAAATTCCAAAATCTCTCAGGCTTAAATGTGAGAGGATCCTCCCATGTAGCTGGATCACGGCCTATTGACCATACGTTCACTAACACCTGAGAGTCTTCCAGGACAAAATAGCCGCACGCCTCGACGTCTTGATCAACCTTGCGAATCAAAAAGGGTACTGGAGGATGCATCCGCAAGGTTTCTTTCACTATGCACTGCAAATAAGGGAGACGAACAATATCGGCTTCTTTGATTATCTTGCCTTTGCCAATAACATCTGCAAAGTCGGTTTTAGCTTTCTTCTTTATGTATGGTTTTCTCATGACCTCTACCATTGCCCAGTCTAATAATGTACATGCTCTACCCCTTCCTTCGATTGCTTTCATTTTTGGCCCGTTGTATCCGTTCCCGCAATGAAAAGGTCCTGAAATATGAATAATTCTCAGGTATGAATGGAAGAAGTTAAAAGGAACCCAATGAAGCATAACAGAGCACTGGTGGAAAGTAATTGCTCAAAAGGTGTCTATTCCTCCAACAGTGCAATTAAAAAGAGTTACCAGGCACAAGTATTCTATATGATTTCTGTCGAATGCATGCGGATCTTCCTCACTAGTATTCAACATAACTTCAAGAAAATCTGTTCTACTGTCATTTGGTGATTTCCTCCTTTGCTCCAATCGTTCATCGATCAATCCCCCAATCAGCTGTAGCAACTTATCAGAATGCTTGCCTATGCGTCGCCTTATCCCTTGAGGATCAATCCTTTTCAACACGGGGAAATGATCGGACAAATTGGGCTTACCAGATTCTTCCATGACGTCCCAGACCACATCTTAAATTCTTTACCTGAATTTCCTTAAGGGTCGACTACATCCTTGGAAAAAATGGTATTGGAAAGTAAATTAACCATGGTCTCGAAAGCAGCTTGGCCTATATTCACTGACTCACCAGTTTGCGGCAATAACCAATAAAATCTTGCATCTTTTGGGACCTGATCACGTACATTACAAGTCACAAAATCAATTTTCGCTACTAGTACATGTTTGTTGACTATGACTTAAAAGAGTTACGACTTTACATAAACCTATTTGGACTTGGCAAATGCTTTAAGAAGAATTCTACTAAATATTTATACATATTTGAATATGAAATGTGTTACCCGAGGGTTGCAACACAAACTCCAACATATAAAATCAAATTTGGAGACTAAGGATGTATAGTTTGGGAGAATCAAAGCTTCTAATATAGGATAAAATGCATTTTTTTCTTCTAAAAAGTAAAATAAAAAAACATGGCAGGTTAAATAAATTTTGATCAAATTAAACCGACCTTTACCTGAGATGCTGAGTTGCGTCAAGCTTGTCACCAGAGAAGAGATTAGAATTCAAGAATTTCCTCATACTTCTCCATCGAGAGCAAATAGGTAAAAACACCACAGAGAGGTTATGGTGATTATTGGTACGGATTGCATCTGGAATTGTTCTGCTGGAGAAGGCCAATTCTTGTTTTTGTAAGACTTGTTTTGCCACTGCTGGTGAAGATATTACCACTTTGCCCCATCCTGAGGCTCATCATTAGCCCATATATTTGGGCAAGCCTGGCAAGTGACTTGTGAGGTTGATCACCAAAAATATTATGCAAATTTCCAATCAATGGAAGGAGAATTGGCCCTGGTGGAAATTTTTTGTTACCTCTCTTACTTATTGCTACCCAACGAATGCATTGAAACAAAGTCCTTACAAGTAGTAATCCACCTACAATGACTACATAATCCATTGTTGATTAAATAATATATATGTGTGTCTTATAAAGTAGCGGTTATATATATAAAAAAAAATATATACTGCATCATCCATTTATCCTAAATGTACAAGGTGTTTATCACGCAAAACCTCTGGGCCAGTTGGGTACTCTTTCCGAAGTAGTAATCCATTTATTATCTGTTTGAAAATCAAATATTTTATCTATTTTTTGTTTAACCTATTCCAACGTAACCGACCCGTCCATGTTTGATCCCTATTATCAACAATTATTTCTTTTTTATGGAAACTGCCGAGAAGCTCTGGAGACTGGAAGTCAAGAACAACTGCTAGCACCGCTGTGTTCCCTGGCCCTGCATGCATGATGCATGCACCTTGAGTTTTAGGGTTGTTGTAGAACGTGTAGGAAATATGGAAGGAAAATAGTATCTTTATAAAATGCTTAAGTTTATTATAGGCTACTTAAGGCCACTTGAGATGATTACAATCATCAACTACATCACTATTTATACTACTCAAAATCGAAAACAAAAAGTCTTGCACAAATAACTAAATATCACAATTTACTAGATACATGTACTACGAAATTCTAAAAAAACTTCTTGAAAAACTAAGAGACAATATTGGAAGACTAAATATTGATGCATTAATTTCAACACTCCCCCTTAATGCATTTTCTTGATAACTCCAATGCGTTCTCGAAGATAGCAAAAATTTTCTCTAGGAAGTGCTTTGGTGAAGATGTCAGCAAGTTGTTCTCCTGTCTGACAATAATGCAAGTATGCAACTGAATTTCGCCTTTCTCTTGTGCTTCTCGGATAAAATGATACTTGATGGAAATATGTTTTGACCTTTCATGGCTGACTGGATTCTTGGCAATTGCAATTGCTGATTTGTTATCACAATACAAAACAGTCCTTTTTTTTTGTTTTTCACCAATGTCTTCAAATATTCTCCTAAGCCAAATAGCTTGAGAAGTAGCCTTGGATGCTGAAACATATTCTGCTTCGGCAGTGGATTGAGCAACAACACCTTGCTTTTTTGATAACCAAGAACAAATGCTTGATCCAAATAAGAAAGCATAACCAGATGTACTTTTCATGTCATTTATACTTCCAGCCCAATCACAATCAGAATAACCAATTAAGTTTAAATTTCCACCAAATTTGTCTATTATCCCATAATCCATTGTTCCTTGCAAGTAGCGTAGAACACGCTTTGCAGCTCCAAAATGCACTTGGCTTGGTTCTTGCTTGAATCTGGATAATAAACTAGCAGCAAACATAATATCTGACCTCGTTGAAGTAAGATATAGCAAACTTCCAATCAAACTCCTAAAAAGTGAGCTATTAACTTTTTTTCGCCATCATATTTTCTAAACTTCTCATTTGCTGCTAATGGTATGGCCACAGACCTGCAATCCATCATTTTGAATTTTTGAAGAATACTTTTAGTATACTTCTTTTGAGAAATGAAAATTCCTTCTTTCACTTGAGAAACTTCGATGCCCAAGAAATAATTTAGCAATCCAAGATCACTCATTTCATAAGCTTGCATCATATCTTGTTTGAAATTTTGCATCATCTTTACATCATTTCCTGTAAAGAGCAAATCATCCACATAGAGACAAACAATGATAACGCTGCCATGTTCTTTATTTACATACAAAGTGGCTTCACTTTTACTTCTCTGAAAATTATTTTTCAAAAAGTATGTATCAATTTCATTATACCAGGCTCTTAGAGCTTGCTTCAGCCCGTAAACAACTTTTTTTAGTCTATACACCTTTTCTTCTCCTCCTTGAACAAAAAATCCTTGAGGTTGCTCAACATAAATCTCTTCATCAAGTTTTCCATTCAGAAATGTTGATTTAACATCAAGTTGAAATATCTTCCATTTCTTTTGTGCAGCAACAACAATTACAGTTCTAATTGTCTCAAGACGAGCAACTGGAAAGAAAGTTTCATAAAAATCAATACCTGATTTTTGCGTGAAGCCTTTAGCAACCAACCTTGTTTTGAACTTTTGAATATCTCCTTCCTGATTGAGTTTGATTTTGTAAATCCATTTTAGACTTACAACTTCTCTTTCTAGGAATAGCCACAAGCTCCCAAGTATTATTTTTTTCGACCATTTGAATTTCTTCTTCCGTGGCTTTCTTCCAAACATCATGCTTTATTGCTTCTTCATAATTTTCCGGCTCAACACCGGCAAAATTACATCTTTGATAAATGTCACTCAACAATTCTGTTCCTCTTGGAGGCTGTTCTTCATTATCTGAATCAGGGATTTCTCCCCCTTGAGAGACATCTTCATCTTTCTCATCCTCTTCTTGATTTGAAGATATGATAGCAGTATTCTCTATCTTTTTATCCTCCCAATTCCATGTTGTTTTTTCATAAAAAATGACATCTCTACTAACAACAAGTTTGTTAGTTTTGACATCGAGAAGCCTATATCCTTTTGTCACATCACTATAACCAAGAAAAACACATTTTTGACTTTTTTTCATCCAATTTTATTCTTTTCTCAGCAGGTACATGAGCATAACAAATACACCCAAAAATTATAAAATGACTTACAGAAGGTTTAATTCCACTCCAAGCTTCAACTGGTGTCTTGTCCTTTAGTGCCTTTGTTGGACACCTGTTAAGGATGTGAATTGTTGTATGCACTGCTTCTGCCCAAAAATATTTTGGCAGCCCTTTCTCATTCATCATAGTTCTGGCCATTTCAACAATTGTTCTATTTCTTCTTTCAGATACACCATTTTGTTGAGGAGTATACCCTGCTGTAAGTTGCTTCTGAATGCCTTCATTTTTGCAATATTCTTCAAATTCTCGACTTGTGTACTCACCTCCTCGATCACTGCGAATGATTTTGATACTGCAACCTTTTTGCTTCTCAACAAGGGCTTTAAATTTCTTGAATGTAGCAAATGCTTCTGACTTTTCTTTCAAGAAATAAATCCAAGTCATTCTTGAGAAATCATCAATAAAGATTAGAAAATACCTTTGACTTCCAAGAGATGGAGTCTTCATTGGTCCACAAATGTCGGTATGAATTAGTTCCAAAATACACTTGCTCTCCAAGACACCCCTTTGGAAAAGACTTCCTTCCTGTGTTGCTTTCCCATTATACAACTTTCACATGTATCCATCTCAGTATGTATCTCAGGAAGGCCTTGCACCATGTCCTTTTGCTTGAGAAGCTTTGAACCATGAAAATTCAAGTAACAAAATCTTTTGTGCCAAAGCCATGAATCATCTACAATTTCATTTTTTAATGCATTGTAATGAAATTGCAAAAAGAAGTTTCTTTTTATCATCTTTAGTTCAACAATGACTTGATTTGGCTCAATTTTATCATAAATCTTGCAATAATTATCTCTAAGCACAAGAGAATAACCATTTTCCATGAGTTGACCAACACTAAGTAAATTTTCTTCGAAGTCAGGAACATAAAGAACATCATGAATTTGCTTACCACATCATTTCATGTTGATCGAAATAGTACCTTTACCTTTCGCATCAACTAAGGCTCCATTCCCCATCTTCACTTTAGTAGTGATACTATTATTAATTGAGAGGAAAGCCTTTCCATCTCTAGTCATGTGATTACTACAACCACTATACATACCATTCATTGCTTTTTGTTGAAGCATCAGATTTAGAAGCAAAGAAAAGATTTTCTTCTCTTTCTTCCTCCTGTTTTTCACAAAAATTTGTTTGCTCCCGTTTCTTGTGCCAACAATCCTTTTCAACGTGGCCAAACTTTTTACAAAAGTTACATTGGGGCTTGCCTTTGTGCCAACATTTTTCTGCATTGTGATTAGTCTTTTTGCAAACTTTACAAAAAAGACTAGAGTTTTTCTCACCTTTTTCTTCAACCCTCTTAGAAGAACCATCATGATTCTGCTTCTTTTTTGGCTTTTGATTTTTCTTCTGATGATTTTTTGAGAAATTTTGAGAATTCTTATTTATTTTAGACTGGAAAGCCGTCTCTTTGGGTTGATCTTCATGAAAAATTCTTCGCTTCTCGTGTGCACGAAATGATCCAACTAGCTCTTTGATGGAAAGCTTAGAATTCGTCTCCTCAGTGATAGCAACGATGTATTCATACTTTTCTGTGACACTAATTAGAATCTTTTCCACAACTTGCTGGTCAAAAATTGTATTACTATGATTTCTCATTTCATTAACAATATTCATGACTCTTGTGCAATATTAATCAATTTTTTTAGATTCTATCATCTTTAAATTTTGAAACTCTTTTCTAAGAGTTTGAAGATTTATAGTGCGTACCTTTTCGTCACCATACACTTCAGTTTCCAGAAAATCCCAAGCTTCCTTTGAAGTCTCACAAGTAGCAATTTTTGCAAAATATGCTCTTGAGACTCGCATTTGGATTTAGCTCAAGGCTTTTGCATCTTGACGATACTTAGCCTCAAGATTTTTCATCTCTGCTGTTTTAAGATCACTATCGTTTTCTGGCTCTTCAAAGCCATTTGCAACAATAGTCCACAAACCTTCAGCTTTCAAATGTGTTCTCATTCTTATCTTCCAGTATTCAAAATCAGTTCCATCAAAAAATGGAGTAAGAACAACTGAAGAATCAACACCTTCATTTGTTTTGGGTGCCATATTTTTTTCTTCACCTAACCTCAGATTAAGAACGAAAACCTGCTCTAATACCAATTTGTAGGAAATATGGAAGGAAAATAGTATCTTTATAAAATGCTCAAGTTTATTATAAGCTACTTAAGACCACTTGAGATGATTACAATCATCAACTACATCACTATTTATACTACTCAAAATAGAAAATAAAAAGTCTTGCACAAATAACTAAATACATGTATCACAATTTACTAGATATATGTACTACGAATTTCTAAAAAGACTTCTTGAAAAACTAAGAGACAATTTTGGAAGACTAAATATTGATGCATTAATTCCAACAAAACGTATTACTACTTTTCAATTGTAACAACTTTTGCTTTGTCGTTTCCTTTCTGTTTAACAAATTGTACTACATAGGCTTTTAGTCGTGTAGGGTTAATATCACCAATAATCTTGTCAATGTCATGTAGGCTTAATTTTCTACAACCTACTCGATCGACTTCATATACATCCAAACACAAAGATGAAATCTGGAAAATGTTTACATTCTCACCAGAGCAGAAAATATCTCAGATTCCAAAAATTGAAACCAAATCAACCTTAAATCCTCTTATAGAGTTTGATGCTAGCTGCATTGTACTCCATTCTAATTAACTCCTAACATACACATACCACCTCCTAACAGTAATTAACAGCTAAATGGAGATCAGCCACTTACTGTTTTATTCTAACTGCTTTGCAGATTCTCCCAACTCTAAAACCTTTGACCTTGGCTAGGCACTTGATGAGAGATTTTTAAAGAGCACCTGTCGACATCTAAGAATATACATCCATTCAGTTCAGAAATGTGTTGCACATATCCATAGTCAAAGTCAGAAAACTCGCCTCAAAAGTTGCAGTCAAGAATGCTAGTAATGGATTCATATCCAAGCCATATTTTGCTCTAATGAGTCCAGAGATATCGTCCCTTTCAAGTTGCAGTCATTTTCAACTAGCTGACGTCAAGTTGGCATGTGGACCGATCGAACATGGATTTCAAAGCGATAGGTCAACAGCGAGCGAGCTCTTATGGTCTGTCATCTCCACAGATCTCCTGAAATCGCGTCAAACTGCAATGAAGAGTATTAGATATTTTCTGGTAGCAACAGTGGCCTCCCATCCCTCCTTTCCCAAAAAGGCTTAGCCCCCTGAAGTAATGTCTGGCTAGAGACATTGTGGCAACACAATTTCCTGCCTCAAAGTTTAGAGTTTACGAAAACTCAGAATTCTTTCACAAAAAACAGAGTTCGCGAAAACTCAAAATTCTTTCGCAAACTCTGCTTTTTGAAAAATTTCAAACATATGCCTCCTTATTAAGAACTCACTGATAGAGTCTCTCCAAAATTAGAACAAAATGCCAACCAGCAAACTAACATAAATAGTAGCTTGTAGAGTAAAAATGTGTTCACTGGATTTTGACCCATAAAAAGGGAGGGAATAACACACCATCCACTTGCATTCTACAGCACATTCACCTCAGATATTTCAAAACCCAACATCATTAATGATCCAAGTGATCTTTTGAATTTTGATCACAAGCCATTATGAGTACAATGCACTTGCACTCCTGTTTCCGTCCTACAACTTGATACTACTAACTGAACATGATATGAATGTTCTTGAAATGCATGCATGATTCCAGAAAAATAGTTATGAAATGATTGCAAATAAAAACTTAAATATCAAAGTAAGAATCGCTTAACCCAACTCTGAAGAACATCCAATGAACCCAATCTAAACATCAAACAAACACTAAGCAACTTACAGCTTATTATAAGAACTCCTATTATTAGGAAAGATGACATAGAAATAATAAATATATTATGGAGTATCAGAGTGTGATGCAATCTCCAGAATACAATATAAACTAATGAAAACCCCAAGTGTGTCAAACATACATACCGACGTAGTAGCACCAGTGGATTATAAGGAAACAGGTTCTTTTGGTAAAGGCTTTCAATAGATGCTTTAAGTTGAAAAAGGCAGTTCCTTGCACATTCAAACGGTGACATCTGAGTTACATAGTCCTCATTGTGACATCCGTAGGCTTTCTTGCGTTTGGAGTCAGGTGGTAAATTATCTCCACTAATACAACTTGACACAAGTGTTAACTCTCCCATAGAGTTATGATCATCTGCTGAAAACTTTTTCCTTTTTCTGCTTCGACATTTTCTGCTCCATGAAAATTCGATAAATATGTTCCAAGAATCACTTACCTTACGCAGACACCTATGAGGATGCAGGAACAAATTTAATTGAAACATCAGACATGGATAAAGTCAACATATTTTGTTTAAGAAGGGCTAATGTTGTCGCCTTTCACTGAAATTGAATTTTTTATTCAAATTTGAAGCAATTATCAGATAAATGAATACGCAATGTTTAATTTAAATGGAAGAACATGTAGTTAAATTTTTGTGTTTTAGGAATATATTAAGAAAAGACAAGTTAATTCATAAGAGGTTGTGGAACTTTTTTAGGATCAAAAAGATACACCCTCTATCCCAATTTATGTGGCACACTTTCGTTAAGTTTATCCCAAGAACGACACCTTTCTATGTTTAGAAACCATTTAACTTTAAAATTCTCACTTTACCCTTAATGATATGATTTAAAAATTGCAACCACACAAATTTTTACGACTTGTTCTAGAACACATGTTTCAAAAGTCTTTCTTTCTTAAATTCAGTGCTTAGTCCTACACAGTGGGAGTAGAGTTTTATGAAGAGCTTACAACTCTTGTAATTCTGAATATGCAAACATGGTACAGCTGGAACTTCTTACATGGAGTAAAACGGTTTGCGAATTTTGATTACACTTAAATATTGGGAGAAAAAGATGGTTTGCAAATTTGGAACTAGTATGCTTTATTCATATAAAGGTTGAGCCTGTCAAAACACCATACTTAGTCTACATATTGATACTTATAGATGTCTACATATTGATACTTATAGATCTTATAGCCATGTCCAAATAGTATATAAGAAAATAAAATGCAAAGTTATAACTAATACATACCTCAAAAGATATTCAGCAGAACTAGCCCCTGTGTCTTTTGAGATGAGATAATCAAGAAGAACTTGATGATCATAGTGTATCTGAGAGGATGGTAACATAGCCAAACTACTCAGCATGGTAAATTCAGTATTTTGATCTTGCAGCAGAGGAAAAAAAACAAAGAAATGCACAAGGGAATGTTTTGTACTTACTCCAGCCAAGAATAGGTGAAAGAAATGTATTGGGTGAAAAAGGTGTGAGATCAGAGAAAACTCTCTCACTTCATCATCTGATAAAGCCACTTCATTAGTAAACCTACATACAACATGATGCACTAAAACAACCGCCATATACAACTTCACATCATCTCCAGAAATAGCAAATACACATTCAACTCACTTTTCAGAGTAAAATGGCAAGCATAACATTTGCAAGAGCATTTCAAATAGAATATCGTCCTACAATTTAACAATAGTAAAAGAAAGTCAGAAAAGTGAAGACAGCTGGACCAGTAAACATATAGTAAGATATCCTGGGGTACTTTAACATACAAGGACAGGATCAAATCAATTAAATACAAAGTTTTAGCAGAGGTCTATGCCATGGACACAATTTTATAGTAGGAAGTACACTAAAACCTAGAGGCAAGCCAGAAACCATTTTGTAAGAAATAGGCAATTCTCAATCTTCTATTTTGTTATTGAAAAATAATAACAATTTAATAGATAAAGCTTGGAAGCCAAATGTAGGCAATTCTTAATCATTGGAAGTCCAAAGAGATGCAGAGTACTGAAGCAACTGCATATACAAGGTATTGTCCAGCTAATCTCATACCAACAGTTCTAAAACTTATTAGACCTTGAAAATCAGATATAATCATGAAATTTACAAAAGTCAATTCAAATTTTTTATATAGAGATCCTGAAATAAATGAACAAGTCAAAAGCAACATGTCATTGTGAGCAAGTGAACAAACCTCTTGCATATATAGCTGCAAGAAGGATGAGACAAAGTCCATGCATTTCTCGGAGTACATGTCATTGTCAATAAAACAATCACCAGGGAGAAGCTCTCTGAGCCACTCATGGAGCTCTAGCAAAGCTTTCCTTCGACTGCAACACTTGGGATTCATGTCAAAGCTTGAGAAAGACTTAAGATTTTTACAAGCATAATGTTGATCAGTCGTTTCTTTCATGCTCAGCAAACTAGAGGAACATTTGAGGAAAAGGAAAATAGACAGCCGTTGTAAATGCTTTGATGAAATCCATTTATTCCCCATATCAAATGTCATTACCCCAAATGGCGAACCTTCGAGATATTTATCTAGAACAAACTCCTGCCCCTCCATAGGTTGGGACAATACATCTTGAAAGTATGTGTGGATTAGATCCAACCACGAAATTACAATTGAGTGCTCCCAATGGATTTGGTTACTAAGTCGAATCATGAGTATCTGTAAAATGGACAGTTAGTGCAACCACAAACACAACTCAGTTAATGATCACATTGGTGCATTATTTTTCAAATAAAATTTTAAATATACCTATCACACCACTGTAAATAACAGAAGGAGCATAAATGGAAGAAATGATTATTAGAGCAAACGCAAAGAACAAGAACCCCTCATCATATCCACCTAATGGGCTAATTGGAATAATTTAGACTGAATGCAACATCAAAGAAGGGTAAATCCCTCTTAATTTTAAATACAGTGCAAGTGGATGTGAGATTTAGAGAACTTCTAGGTGTAGAGTACCCCCTGATTTGCCTCAAAAGACAAATTATTTAGTATTAGAAGGAAATGGACTTGAATTGAACAGAACGGCTGCAGATGCTAGTGAATGAGAAAGAGTTGAGAAGAAATTCATACCAACATCTTATATTTAAGATATTGACAGATCGCAACATTGTCAGAGTGTTGTCCATTACTTATGCATGATGATAGTATTCTTGGAAGCAGGTTTTTTATTTCAAAAATAAATGGATGCTCTGCTGAAGTGATGACAGCAGCATCTGTCCAACTACTTTTAACCAACGAACAAAGTAACCGAAGAATATATCCTTGAAATATTAGTATTGACTTCGGTTTTTCTTCTTGCATTTGAAGCAAGCGGTCTGAATTGGAGTCCCCTTGAACATGGTAAACCTCCGACAACAAATTCCACGGCATATTTGAGATAAAATAAATGGTAGCCTCCAAGAAAATGTTGAAAAATTGATCAATAAGATCCCGATTCAAATGTTTCAGTACATTGTGTAGAACTCTCATGATAACAGCTGCCGTTGACCAACTTGCACTTTTCAAGCTGAGCTTCATTAAAGAAGAAGGTGAAGGATCCCCACTCAAGTCTTTGACCTCCATCTTATGTCCCATAGAAGAAAGACCATTAAAAATCGAAATTTCCACACAAAGATACAGTAAATTGATATATTCACCCCAACAGCTTTCCTGCAAGATAGAACTTGTAAAGAAACACAAAATATAAAAACGAAGAACTGCCTATGTAGTGATTGCGGAAGCACTGTCGTATGACATACAGATTCAACCAAAAAATCAGAAACAGCCACCAGGATATTGCCAACTAGGTGATTCATATATGGATTCTCCATCGCAACCACGACCATCTGCAGATAGGAAATCATAAAACAGTTGTCCGGTTGAATTAGAAGTAATTTCAAACAAAACAACAAATGCACCATTGAAAGGGAGGGGGGGGGGGGGGGGTCTGAACTTGAAACTGATCAAAATGATATGAAATCTTAGATTATAGAACCTGAAAACTTGGCACCCATGTATCATATATCATAATGGGGTATTCAAATTGAAAAAACCTACCAAGACCTGAATAACATTAGTTAAACAATGATGATTAGCAGCATGTGACTCGGGGATTATTCGAACTCCACCAACAGAATTTCCCTCCATATCCTGCTAATAAATTTACACAAACAAACAATGTACCCTAAGATAATTCCAAGCAAAATCATATTTCCACAACGAATAGATACACAGAGGAAGATTCTTACAAAGCTGTTGTCGGACTCATATTCCTTCATCCACAGCTTAATTTCTGCATAAACCTAAAAGTAGGGACTTTTCAATCAATCAAGTCTGCCTCAATTCAAAACAAGAAACCCAGAATTGGTAAATAAAGTAACAACCTGTGAGAGAGCAACTAAAAGTTCTTTCTCCGTTTCTTTGGTTACCGAAGTAGACCCAGTTTCCTGCAGAGGAGTAGAGTTCCATTTTCTATACAATGAGAAGAAGAACAAAAAAAATAGAGAGGCAAATAAGAATCAGTTGCGGCGAAAGAGTAGAGTGAGCTTACAGTATAAGGACGGAGGTAATGATCAATTAGAGAACAGAGACGTGGGTGTTCCTTCGCCATAATTTCCAACTTCAGAAGCAACTCGCTTCTCTTTTTCTTTTGTGGTATATGTATGTACTTCTTAATTAAATAAATAAAAATTAAAAAGAAATAGTATTAAACTCTCAAAAATATTTATTTATTTAAAAAAAATCAAACATAACAAATTTGACTAATGCAATTTAGATCCCAACATAATATATAAACTATTACACAATATAGATTTACCACAAATGTTCGCCAAAAGGTAATAGTTGTAGCAGTTGCACACTATCTGGGGTTTCAAAAATATATATACATACAAAAACACTTCTCAAATAAACAAACAAGATGGTGTTGAGTTTGTCAAATGCTCGACAAGCCGCTATATTAGCGGCGCATAAACTATGGCGACGGTCAGGAATGAATGTTATACTAAGCTATCCGCCATTTCATTAGGACAGCACTTGCTTAGTTTTTTTCTAGCTTGATTGCGAAGCATGGATAATTTTTTATAAAGATATTTAATAAAAGTGTTTATCAAAATAGTCGGTTTTTAGCTGCTTGGCCAAAAGAAAAACCTCTAAAAACATTTTTAAAATTTTGATTAAACAGTAATTGTTATTGCTCCAAAATATATTGACTTAACACTATGTTTCAATAGTAGGTGTAATCCATGACAAGAGCTACCAACTTATGCCACCATTGAGTGAGGCCTCTTCCATAGCAGCAGTTGTCATCAATAAGTGCAACTCCATAATCTCAATCAGCAAAGCACGCCAGCTCCATGCCCTCATCCTCACTTCTGTACCCGCGACCTCCAGATCTCCTTATGTATTCAACAACATTCTCTCTATGTACGCCCGATGTGGGTCTATCCAAGACTCACATATCCTGTTCGACAAAATGCCTGACAGAAACGTTGTCTCTTTCAACGCCCTCATTTCCGCCTATTCTCGATACCGCCACCTTGCCCATTGGACTTTCCATTTGCTTGCTCAATTGCAAAGTGAGAGCCTAAGACCAAATGGGTTAACTTTTACTAGTCTTTTAAATGCGTGTTCAGGTATCAAGAATCAGGTATTAGGCTCTATGCTTCATTCCCAGTGTATAAAGTTTGGATTTTTATACGATGTGTGCGTTCAAACCTCTGTTCTTGGGATGTACTTAAATTGTGGAGTTTTGGATTGTGCAGAGAAAGTTTTTTGCTACATGTATGATAAAGATTCCGTGGCTTGGAATACTCTATTCTTTGGGTATTTGGAAAATGGTAAGACCGTGGAAGGCCTTCAGCTGTTTGGCACCATGTTGAGGACTGGAGTTGTTCCTACGAATTTCACTTATACGACATTGTTGAGTGCTTGTAGCAGGTTAAGAGACCATCTTTCTGGTAAATTGATTCACTCCAAAGTGATTGTTTCAGGGACTGCACCTGATTTGCCCTTGTATAATGCCATGCTCGACATGTATTCTAGTTGTGGTGATAGTGAAACAGCTTTGAGAATCTTCAGAAAAATGAAGAAGCCAGATTTAGTTTCTTGGAATTCAATGTTATCGGGGTACGCAACAAATGGAGATGGAGAGAAGGCAATGAGGATCTTCATCCAATTTGGACAATCTTCTCACTTCACCCCTGATGAATATACATTTGCAGCTACAATTTCTGCTGCAGGAGCATTGCCAGCAGCTGAGTGTGGGATACCACTTCATGGCCAAGTTGAGAAGGTGGGGCTCGGTGTAAGTGTATTTGTTGCAAGCACACTTATATCAATGTACTTTTGCAATGGGGAAGTTGAGTCTGCTCGAAAGGTTTTCATTAATATCCTCGATAAGGATGTTGTCCTTTGGACTGAAATGATTGCTGGACATTGTAGGATCGGTAATGCTGAGAACTCTATTAAATTGTTCCATGAGATGTTACAGGAAGGCCACAAGGCTGATGAATTTACTCTTACCAGTGCCTTAAGCGTGTGTGCTGAAGTGGCAACAGTGAGGCAGGGTGAAGTGATTCATTCCCTGGCTGCCAAAACAGGCTACAGTGCTGACATGACCGTTTGTGGGAGTCTGGTTGATATGTATGCTAAAATTGGAAACCTTGCAGCTGCAGATCTTATGTTTTCCAGTGTCACCATGCCTAATCTAATATGCTGGAACTCAATGCTTGGTGCATATGGTTACCATGGGAAGGCAGAGGAGGCATTTAAGATGTTCAATGATATTTTACAACATGGCCTAAAACCAGATCATGTAACATTTATCTCTCTGCTTGCAGCATGTAGCCACTGTGGTTTGGTCAACCATGGTATATATTTCTGGAATAAAATGAAAGAAAATGGCTTAAAACCAAGCCTGAAGCATTACTCCTGCATGATCACTTTGTTGAGTCGAGCTGGATTGCTGGAGGAAGCTGAACATGTTATAATGGAATCACCCTTTGGAGTTGAATGTCTTCAATTATGGAGAATTTTACTGAGCTCCTGTGTAAGTAAAGGAAACCAGATAATAGGAATACGTGTTGCGAAGCAGGTTTTGGGGATGGATGCAGAAGACAGTGCAACAAATGTACTGCTTTCCAATTTATTTGCTTCAACTGGTAGATGGGGCGGTGTTTCTGAGATTAGGAGAAAGATAAGGGGACTTACGTTGGAAAAAGATCCTGGTTTAAGCTGGTTAGAAGTTCTGAACAATACTCATGTGTTCTCTTCTAGTGATCACACACATCCACAGTATGATGAAATAAGAGCTGAGTTGCATAGATTACTAGCAAACTTGACACAGTCAGAAGCAAATCAATTTATACTGGATGCTGAGGCTGTGGAAATAGGATCTAGCCTCCATTGGTTTGAATCAGAATGACTGCCAATTGAAATCTTTGATAGGCCATGGAGCTTAAGATTCAGCCAATCTCTTCTCCAAAATGATTACTAGTATATATCTTCGTCTAACAGTTAGTTATCAATTTGTTTCAGATGGTAATTTTTAAAAATAAGGTATTCATTATTTTTATTTAAAATTTGGGATAATGCACAAGACCCCTCGATCGATGTCCGAAATCTCAGAGACACACTTATATTATACTAAGTATTATTACCCCTGAATTTTATTTTATTAATAATTTTCTACCCCTTTTTGGCCTACGTGGCACTATCAAACGCTGATTGATTTTTTTTCATGCTAGTGCCACGTAGGCCGAAAAGGAGTAGAAAATTAATTATAAAATAAGTTCAGGGGTAATAAGATTTTAATATAATATAAGTGTGTCTAAAATTTCGGATATAAATTGAGAGGGAGTATTTATGCATTTTCTCTAAAATCTTTAATTTATGTGTATATTTACTAATACAGGATTATTCTTGAATATCCGTAAAAGAAGAAGATAAATTAATGTAGTAAAAGTACTTTTATTCATAGAGTTTGTTTTATCATGTTCTAACTCAACCATTGAACTGAAGCCTAAAGAAAAACAAGTCGTATCACACAAAATTTCACCCTCTTTTTTTTATAGCCTAAATTTAGGCGTCAACCATTATTTTCTACATATACAGTAATGACAGATGAAAAACTAATTTTACCATGTGCAGTTATCAGTCAACAAGATATAACTGTTGCCATATTCCCTATCCATGTGTCCTAAAAAATCTTTTCTTATTTGAAAAGGGAAAAAATTAAAAAGGCAGACCCAAAAAAGAGGGTTTATAATTTGGGGGGAACGCGTCTACAACAGATGAGATCTCAATCAAGTGTTTACACAAGTATCCAAAGCATCACAAATATAACCAGTTCTATTTCTACAATGGGCAACTGAAATCATCTAGAAGAGACTCGAGTACAAAATCAAGCTTGATACACTAGATCAGCAGAATTAAGTGAAAAATAGTATGACATAACATTGCCGCGACATCCTTGTGAACGAACATCTCTGCAGAGATACTGGTCCACAATAATGAAACTGGAGGTAGATAAAATTTTCATGATTTGTCAAAATGCTTGAGCTTTGCCAAGCTACTGTGACAGATAACCAGTAGCATAGAGATTTCCATCCATTAGAATCTCAGATGTATGAATTACCAAACACATTCTCTAGCGTCTGCTTGTACGACTTTTTGCTCTAGTCTTCTGCCAAAAGTAATGATACACAATAAAGATAGGCATCAGAATTAGGAGCTTTTTTAGAACAAAAGCACAAGTACCTTCTTTGATAAGGGTTTTTAAATAATACCATAATGAAGTAGGGTACAAATTGGTAAACAAAAACATGTATCTTTCTTTTCATAAAATATTGTGAAAGATACAGCTATCAATGCCAAAGTGTTGCTGCAACATATACCAGACAAATGATGAAAGAATTTGAACCAAAAGTTCATAAAAACAATTTCAGCAACCATGAGGCAGTACCAGATATGTCTATGCCCATTATGACTGCATCACTACTCTTAGTTGTGATGGCCTTGTCAAATAAAAAAATTGTTTATAGAAAGGCAAACAATTTGTTGTGTATGTTTCTCTCTCTTTAATAAGAAATCAACCCGGTAGTTGGTGAACCATGGTGATTCTGAGGAAAAAAAAAGAATCACATAGAAAACTCAAAGCAGCAAGATTTTTGTAAAAGCATCCTAACATTCAACAAAGTAATTTGTCAACAGATAAGTTAACCAACATCGCCAAATAAACTATTCCTCTACTCCACTTAGATTTCCATTTTCCTCATGCCATGCTTAAGGATAGGCGAGAAGTGTTTTCCTTTCAGTCAAGGCATAAACAAGAAAGAGACAATATAGGAGAACATGTATACTCACAGATTGAGTCCCAAAGCTTGCCCCTGATGCTAGTGCAGGCCCTTCAATAACATAAGAACAACAGTTAGGCACAATTCAGCAAACAAATTTTACTGTTACCAGATTCAAAAATTAGCAAACAAAATTTGAAGGATACAGGTTCTGGGAATAGAAGAAAAACAGGATGAAAAAGAAAAATCCCTTTCATTCGAAAATACGACAGAATCAAGAATATGCTAAAGATATCTGAAAGTTCTAATATCAAATGAACTAAGTAACGAACTGTAGGTTAATATAAAAGAAAGGAGGTTATTGGCAAAATAAAGGGTAGAAAAAAA